TTTAAAATTAAAAACTGTATATTTTTGTGCACTGGTCTCTCTTTGTGAATTTCTCCCCTACTGTGTACATAGATAAAGCTGTAATCATAGAATCAGTGGTTTAAGACATACAAGTGTCACATTTCAGACTTAGGACAGATGTCTGTGTGAACACAGCTCCCCACTATGGAGAAGTAAAACAAAAAAAAACTTTATTTAAAACATAATTGTCCATTCATAATAAAAAAAAAACAAAAAAAACTCAAACTAATTTATTTATTCGCCACCTAAAAAAGTCAAGAAAAATGAATGTTACAAAATGCTGCAAACCTTGTAATGGAAAACATTAATGAACAATTCAGAACCACGACCCACATAGATTGTAAGCTCATTTGAGCTGGGACTATGTTGGCGCTACATAAATGTTAGTAACAGTCATAACATGTACAATAATTGCTAGAATAGCCATTTCTGATTACCGTAAACATAAAATGTATATATATCAGACTATTTTTCTATTAGATTGTTACAAAGATTCAGTTGCTAGTTATTTATCACTTCTTAGCATGTAAAAAAAATAAATTATATAACAATTGATGGGTAGAGGGTAACATTCTACCTCGGGAATTGTCTGACTAAGAACCTGATGATAGAATATTCTCTTACAATCATTTGTACTAAAAACATACATACATACCTCCCAACATTGATAGGTATGGAATCAGCGTGGGTAGGTAGCACGCCAGCCTCCTGACCAGCCCTCAGCGGGAAGCACTCTTTGCATGGTCTTGGCGTCCGCTGCACAGTATGAGCATGTGAGCGTGTCTAATGATGCACCAGTGCTTTGCAGCGTGGGTCCACATGTGGGACATCAAGAAACTAAATTGAGATGGGAACCCCAAAAGTGGGTATATCTCACTAAAAGGGGGACAATTGGGAGTCCTGTGTATAGATCAATATTCCATAAAATTTGGGTCTGCTCTGTGTTCCCATGCACCTTTCCCAGGGTTGGTTTCTCAGACACAGAATTCGGCACAAATTTAAATGTAGAAAATAATCCAGGCACTCCAAGGTATTCCAACAGGTAGGCAATTTTTTATTGGACCCAAGCACCAAAAAACTACGTTTTGACCCCTTAGGGCCTTTGTCAAGCAAAGAACAGAATTCAGCACAAACACACACAAGGCATTCTGCCATCGAGCAACAATCATTGTGTCATGCAGTTGGGATGACCTCATACCTGTTGGCTTACACAGTCTAGTATTTTACATAATATACAGGTTGTCCTTATTTTACGACCTACCTGTTTTACGACGGCTCGCATCTACTACCAGCTCCCTAGTATGGAGGTAAGTGCGAGCCGTCAGTGAGATTAGAGGGATTCCCTGCTCTGCTGCATTCGTCTATGTTTGGGGAAATTTCCCCGTACATAGACAAGCGCACCAGAGCAGGGAATCCCTTAACTCCTCACTTACCGACCAATTCGTTCTACAACCAGGTCGTAAGAACAGAACCTGGTTGGCAAATGAGGAGTACCTGTATATTAAAATTTTTTTACCACGTGGCTGCCATAATATGTGATTCAAGTTGTATTTCTCTGTAAAGTCACCATAACATATGTACATGATGTTGAATTGTGGGGGGATGGTAAATAAGCAATTGCATGCATTTAATGGTAGGTACCTGCTGCTCGTATTATCCAATTGCATACAAGCATTAGAGACAGACAACGTGGGCAATGAAAATGTCTTCATAGCAATGCTCATGAATGCGAAGATTAGATGGCAAAAAAAAAAGAAGGAATATATATATTTCTACTTTTCAAAGACGCTTTGTCTGACCTGATCTAGGAATGCAAAATCTAAGATAAAAGGAAAAAAAAAACGTATTTCCAGTTGGTTAATCAGAGAGCGTGGAGAGAAATTGACTTCATAAAACACACATGGAGCCAGAGGAGGACTCGAGACCAGAGTAAATATCTTAAATCACAATCACATGATCTAAGAAGAGCAGATCCCACATCAAATAAAGTTGTTTTTTTTCCATAATTAGCACATGACATTACTAGTGTTTAGTGAGATGTAATCTCACTATGTTATGAAATAATCTAATTTCATAGATGATGGATTCTCTAACGGGAAGTGTAAGATATTTATGTGAATCCCATATTATCTTGAAACCAATGGCATTTTTATTGGATTTGATTTATTTTTTTTAGGCTGTGATTTTTTTGTCATTCATTATGATCATTTGGATCTCACACAAAACAAAATGCATTAATCAGACATTTATTTTTAAAGCAACTAAGATCTTTGAAAGTATTTTTGTAACACATGTCAAGCCTTATTCCATGGACTTGATCATTAAAGATAACTTAGGCAGGGCACTGAATTTTTCCTACAGAGGCAAAATATAAACATAAAAATAAAAAAATGCAAAGCATTTCGTAAGGGAAAAAGATGGTGCATGCATATTTATTTATGTATTAAAGAAACCTCCATATTTTAGTATAAAGTAAACAATGTTCCTTTGCTGCTTCTCGACGTCTGAGGCTCTCGGTTTCATATGTAATCAGCAAAGTCGGCCTTAGATGGGCGCTTGTATGAAGTTGAAAGTTGACCTTCACTTGAAGACAGAATGACAAGCTCATTGACTCATGAACTGTGAGGCTGGGTTGATGTAACACAGCAGGAATATACAAAGATACAAGAAGCATAGGCATCCACGTCTAGGAAGGAAAGAAACGTTGAAAAAAAAATAAAGGTAAGAGTTTTTTTTCCTTTTATAACACTTGGGAAACACAGATGTCAAGGTCCTGAGATTTTTGTTCATTAAAATGTATGCCCTGTATTTAATTGCCAGGCCACTTTTTTGTCTAGGGAGAGCAAAGATCATTTGATTACAGAGCTGATGTTAAAAAGGTGCAGGTTGGTGGGTGATCTTAGGATTCTTGAACATCTTCTTGTGACCCTCCCAAGGATTTAGAGTGTAGTGTCCAAGCTCGAACACAGATGATTCCTCTAGGGGAAAGGATCCCAAAATCTAAGTAAAAGCCTAAGATTAGCAATACCCTCGTCAATTTCAGTTTTTAGTTTAGTGGATATCCCTCATATAAAATAAAATTGCTGAAAAAAAAAAGTCATCTTGTTTGGGATACCACCCTGTCTTGTAATAGGTTAATGCGGTAATGGGACATTTTGTAATGGTTTGCATGAATTGAGTCATTTAACCTTCTCTGCACAGAATGGTGTCTATAATAGCTTATAGTTCTTCTGACTAGACCGTGCTTAATCTATGATATTTTGCATATGGGCACATTTTTGCTGTGATCATGTACTTAAGGAAATATTGTTACAATTATACCAGTAAATCATGTAAATTCACCCATCATGATGCTTGGTGATAACAAGCTGTAGGTTCCTACTGTGTCTGTTTGAGAAGAAACAGATACAGTGTTGACATCATTTTGTTTAAGACATGAAGTGAAGATGGTAGCTTGAAACAGACTCACTTTGTGTATAATGACAGCTGCAAGAGCTCTTGTATACAGTGGTAGTCTGCCCTAGTGGTAAGTGGAAACGAGATCCAGATGAACAAATACAAGAGGACAATGCAACTTTGAAATATGGGTATATCTCGACCACCATCAAATGACTTCCAAACAGATACTGTTATAATCTGATTTTTTTCCAGACCACAACGACAAGTCCAAATTCAATTGTAACCAGAATCTGGTGACGGACATTCCTCTGTTTGATTTAGAGCAGTTGCATGGGTGTCCACATACTGGGGCGAGAAGGAACACAAGCCCCTTTCCTGATACTTGCTTTTACTTTGATATAAATGGGCCCTTCTGCACACATTGTGGCTTTTTCCCTAATGGAACATTTTCTGCAGATATCCCTGAGCAGTAGCCCTGTGCTTTTTTATGGTTTTATTAACTTTTTAATATTTGTCAGTTTTGTCTTTCATATACTCTGCTGTTGTTTTCACATTTGTTGCTGCGATCTAGCAGATGTTCATTCATTAACACTTCCTGTGTTTGTTACATGTACAGCTGGAGCCTGTGCTATGCCTGTCGTGTGCAGCCAGCCCCACTAACTCCCAAAGAGCTGTACGCTACCTAATATTAATCTAACAGAAAAATATCATCCCATTAAACAGTTTATAAAGCATTCGCATATGCTAACTGCATTCACAGATAAAAAGAAGGCTGTGACTGACCAGAAACTAAAAAGAAATGCCTTGGTTGAAGAGACATTTTTTAGATTTCTGTCTGATAGTTGGTGGTCTTCTGATAATTTGATATATGTTGAAGATTCTTCTTTTCTACAATATAAAATATTGAATGAGAATGAGAATGAGCCGATGGATGTCCCTTGCATGAGGGTTTGCTTTCTGGTTGAGAGGGCAGATGAGGATAATTGGTGTTCTTGTGGCTGCAGAATGAACCCACCCTGTAAAATGAAGTAGTTATTAAAATGGTTTGTTGCTTCTCCGATTACCAAAAAAGTTTCCCTAATTTTCAGTGAAATAACAATGTGGAGTTCATCCTACATTTAGACAGTCTATTTCCAGTTTCAGATGAATGCTGATGGAGGAAGCTTCTTCCCAGCGCCAGCGGGTGCTCTGACATCATCACTGGGGCCCGGTCGCGCTCTTAAAGTGCCCCAGCGCTGACCGGGCCCCAGGTAATTCATTGCCATCGGATGGCCCAAAGAGCATGGGCTACCTAATGGGCCCCTTCAATCCGGCCCTGGCGGTTGTTCCGCATGACCCCTGTGACCGCCGGACCAGTGGCCGGACCTAATGTATTAATACAACAAGAAACAGGGTCAAGATAAATCAAGGACAGGAATAACAGAAATACTCAGAGTCAAGAAAGAGCTAGGGTCAGGATACCAGAAATCATGAGTCAAATACGAAGCCGGGGTCAAACACAGGAAATCACAAAACAGCACTAAACGAGGATCCAAACAGAAACCACGATAGGGCAAAGAATGGAGGCTAAAACAAGCCTTAAAGGGACACTATAGTCACCTGAACAACTTTAGCTTAATGAAGCAGTTTTGGTGTATAGAACATGCCCCTGCAGCCTCACTGCTCAATCCTCTGCCATTTAGGAGTTAGATCCCTTTGTTTATGAACCCTAGTCACACCTCCCTGCATGTGACTTGCACAGCCTTCCATAAACACTTCCTGTAAAAAGAGCCCTATTTAGGCTTTCTTTATTGCAAGTTCTGTTTAATTAAGATTTTCTTATCCCCTGCTATGTTAATAGCTTGCTAGACCCTGCAAGAGCCTCCTGTATGTGATTAAAGTTCAATTTAGAGATTGAGATACAATTATTTAAGGTAAATTACATCTGTTTGAAAGTGAAACCAGTTTTTTTTTCATGCAGGCTCTGTCAATCATAGCCAGGGGAGGTGCATACACAGAAACAAAGTGATTTAACTCCTAAATGACAGTGAATTGAGCAGTAAAATTGCAGGGGAATGATCTATACACTAAAACTGCTTTAGTTAGCTAAAGTAATTTAGGTGACTATAGTGTTCCTTTAAATGGGCTCAAAAGAGTTCCCACTGGTCCACATCATACAGGGCCAGATTAACATAGGGGCTGATGAAGCTGCAGCTCCAGATCCATGCCCATGGAATAGACCCATTGATTTAAAAAAAGAAAACAAATTTTATACACTACTCTTAGGGTTGCCACCTGGCCGGTATTTATTTAAGGCTGCCTGGCCGCTGCTGATATTGCAGCAATACAAATGCCGGTATTTTTCTCAGTATAAAAAGAGATTACTCTGCAATACCAGCACCAGCCAGTAGGGGTTGCTGTGTGTGTGGAAAGAGGCAGGGATAGGAAGTTACAGCATATACCTGCATCTCTCTACTCACTGATCTGCGGGGGAGCAGCTACACAGCACAGAGAGTCCAGACAGCATCTCCCAGCCTGCAGAGACAGCCTACAGCTTAGGAAAATGAGGAATGGGGTAAAGGATGCAGGGAGACATGGGGATACTGAGATACTAGGAGACACTGTGAGACATGGGGACATAGAGAGACCTCTGGGGACGCTGAGACACTTGAGGACACTTGGAGACACGGGAACACAGACACACATAGGGACACTGAGACATGGGGACACAGACACACATGGGGACACTGAGACACTAGGGGACACTGAGAACTGGGAACACTGAGACACTAGGGGATGCTGGGAGACATGAGGACAAAGACACTTGGGGACACAGACACACATTGGGACACTTGGAGACACTGAGACATGGGGACGCAGACACACATGGGAACGCTGAGACACTTGGAGACATTGTGAGACAATGTCCCCAAGTGTCTCAGTGTCCCCATGTCTCCCAGTCAGTGTCCTGGTGTATCAATGTCCACATGTCTGCCAGTGTCTCAGTGTCTCATTGTCCCTAATGTCTCAGTGTCCCCATGTCTCCCAGTGTCCCCAGACACTGACACTAGGGGATACTGGTGAACATGGGGATACTGGGCAACATAGGGTCACAGAGACATGGGGACACTGGGAGACATGGGGCACTGAGACACAGTGATACATAGGGACACTGTGATACATAGTCTCAGTGTCCCCCAGTGTCCCCAAGTCTCCCAGTGTCCGTAAGTGTCTCAGTGTCCCCATGTCTCACAGTATCCCCAAGTAACATGGGGACACTGGGAGACATGGGAACACATATAGTAGGGGACACCGGGTGACATGGGAGACATGGGGACACAGAGACATGGGGACACTGGGAGCAATCCATCTATACAGCAGAATCAAACTGTAAGTAGTTTTTTGGCAATTTTACAGAATTCTCTCTTATGTCACTCCTTGTGATTTACATAATGTGATGTCATGCCTACATAATTAGTTATGCAAATTAGTAAGGCCTGTATTTTTTTCCAAGAAAGGTGGCAACCCTAAATACTCTTCACATGCTCTTGCTTAAGTATGGACACTTAAGATGGATATATGGAAGCAAAAACATGTGTAGACTGACAATGAAATTAGTTAAGGTAGTGCTGGCTTTGGTCTCTCTAACTCTGTGGCATGTTCCCTTTCTTCTACTCTCACTACATACAGCTTTTCTCTGTCTCAGACTGTATACCAAGAGTTTCTGCCTGCTAGTAAGAAGGTAAGGAGACAAATGGACATGTGAGTGCTAGGGAACAGTCTTTAGAAAGCATGGAGCGAGCGCATCATTAGATGCATTTATGACTGTTTTTCTATGTTCTATGCATAACAGCTTGAAAAGAATTCTGAGACCAAAACATCACACCATAGTATGTGCCATAGAAATGCATTTGTTCACATAAGCTGGGCAGCTACATAGGGGTTCTTAGAATATATTATTGCTTTCTATATACTAAGGGTGAAACTAACAGGAAATAAACTTTTTTGTTAATGAATAAATGTCTTCATGTTGCATTCCTCCAGCTCCCAGCACACTGTGAGTTACACAATATGATGACAGACTTAACGTCATATTTAGATTCCTTTAGTTACAAGATACAGACTGGCATTGAGCTAAAGATAGGAGTTGACTTTGAGAGAGAACATAGATTTAAGGCTAAGAGAACCCTGTGACGTCAAAAACATTTTGTTTCACCTTCTGATGAAGAAGCAAGGTTACATGGACCTACCTTCAACATGATAACATTCACCTTCTCTGGAATCTCACAGTCATAATGACTCAGCTCTGCTTGATTATTTAATATTGTGGTTCGTAAATAGGTTTTGCATTCAATGAAATAAAGGCTAATAGCAAAGTATTTACATTTTTTGATTTTTGATGGATTCATGGTAATAAACCCATGTCACCAATACAGAGAACTGTCCAATTACCAATGTATGTTCATTTCCACATTTCACTACTCACTATATAATATTATTAATATTAGTGTTATTATTATTAGTGTTTATTTAGCACCAACTAATTCTTCAGCACTTAATGTAATGAAAGGGGGGAGATTTTACAATACATTAGACAATCACATAATGATACAGGAACAATAGGTAGATTAGGACCCTGCTCAAATGATCTTACATTCTAGAGCAGGTAGGGTATAAAAACACAATAGGGTGACAGCCACCAAACATGGTGGAAAAGTAGCAGAACGTAAAATGAGAGTGGAGTGTGGCTCTATAGGAGAGCAAGAAACAGACAAGGATAAGTAAAGATAAGTTACACTGCGAGTTCATAAGCATTTCTGAATAGATGTGTTTGAGGGACTTCTTAAATGAAGAAGACTAGGGGAGAGTCTGATGGGGGTAGGCAGGCTGTTTCAAAGGAAGGAAGTCACCCACAAAAAGTCCTGGAAGCGTGAGTTAGCAGTAAAGGTGCGAGCAGCAGGCAGGAGAAGGTCACCGGCAGAGTGGAGAAACCAAGAAGGCGCATATCTATAGATTAGTGAAGAAATGTAAGAGGGGCTAGAGTTGTTTAAAGCTTTATTAGTAAGGGTTAGTATTTTGAATTGACACCTATAGGATACAGGAAGCCAGTTTAAGGATCGACAGAGGGACGAGGTATGGGAGGAGCAACGGGTGAGAAAGATTAAACTGGTGGCAGCATTTATTACAGATTGTAGCGGGGCAGTTTGGCTTTTGGGAAGACCAGCTTGGAGAGAATTACAATAATCCAAGCGAGAGATTACCAGAGCCGAACAAGCTCCTTGGCGTCATCTTACATGAGCAAAGGTCGGATGTGGGCATTGTTTTTAAGGTGAAATCAACAGGTTTTAGCAACATATTGGATATGAGGCTCAAAGGTGAAGCCATGACCAAAAAAAAAAAACCCCAAGACAATGAGCTTGCAAGGATGGACTGATGCAAGTGCCAACAACTTGCAGTGACAGTGAAGGGGGAGGATCAGCATTATGAGGAGATAAAATAAGAAGCTCAGTATGTATTAAGTATTGCACATCCCCTGGCACTAAACAAATTGTATCAAATTGAAACATTATCAAATTGAAACATTAAATTGGACTTTCCACAGATGTAGGGTTTACATTTACATTTTATGGTGGCAAACTCCCAAAGCACCAATGGCTACAGTGATAGGACTTTAATGGGTAAGAGAGTTTCTGATACAGTCCTATAAATTGGCAAACGTTTCATTTTTTAAAAACTTTTTTTTATAATTTATTTTGTGACTTTAGAAGCTGTACACAAAACAGGTAGCAGCTTAGCACGGGCTAGCTGCCAGTGTAACCACTGAGCCCCAAGGTTCCAATGGCTGCATTGATATAGCCTTGTTTGGAAATTGTTTCCTAAGGGACCTCAGTCATAGCGTTGGTCCAATCCAATTCACCTACATGGCAAGTTGGCTTCCCAGACTGGTTAAAGACAGATAATATGTAGACAGTTACAGGAACAAAATGAAAGCAGGACTTCGGACTTCAGGATTCAACAATTGCACAAAAAACAGGTTTCAGGATACAGAAATACAGGTTTACAGGATATCGACCTTACAGAAATACAGGTTTATCCTTTATCGATGTTACAGAAATACAGGTTTATCTGTTATCGATGTTACAGAAATACAGCTTTATCCTTTATCGATGTTACAGAAATACAGGTTTATCCTTTATCGATGTTACAGAAATACAGGTTTATCTGTTATCGATGTTACAGAAATACAGGTTTATCTGTTATCGATGTTACAGAAATACAGCTTTATCCTTTATCGATGTTACAGAAATACAGGTTTATCTGTTATCGATGTTACAGAAATACAGGTTTATCTGTTATCGATGTTACAGAAATACAGCTTTATCCTTTATCGATGTTACAGAAATACAGGTTTATCCTTTATCGATGTTACAGAAATACAGGTTTATCTGTTATCGATGTTACAGAAATACAGGTTTATCTGTTATCGATGTTACAGAAATACAGCTTTATCCTTTATCGATGTTACAGAAATACAGGTTTATCTGTTATCGATGTTACAGAAATACAGGTTTATCCTTTATCGATGTTACAGAAATACAGGTTTATCTGTTATCGATGTTACAGAAATACAGGTTTATCCTTTATCGATGTTACAGAAATACAGGTTTATCCTTTATCGATGTTACAGAAATACAGGTTTATCTGTTATCGATGTTACAGAAATACAGGTTTATCTGTTATCGATGTTACAGAAATACAGGTTTATCCTTTATCGATGTTACAGAAATACAGGTTTATCCTTTATCGATGTTACAGAAATACAGGTTTATCTGTTATCGATGTTACAGAAATACAGGTTTATCTGTTATCGATGTTACAGAAATACAGCTTTATCCTTTATCGATGTTACAGAAATACAGGTTTATCTGTTATCGATGTTACAGAAATACAGGTTTATCCTTTATC